ACTATACATATATTTCAAGTACTATGTATATGTTCTGGCTCATTTAATGATTTCAATCAATTCTGGATTGATCTAGATTATTATTGAATTCTGAAATGAACTAGTTCATTTTGTGAACGGTGAAAAGTTTATAAATGGTGAAAATTTTAAAAATATTAAATTAAAAATTATACATCCAAACAATAAATTATATGACTAAGCAACATATTAGTTATATTATTAATATTCTTTCATATGAAATAAACCATAAAAAATTTTACATAAAAAAAATTAAAAAAATCTAAAATTTTTTTATAATAAAATAGCTTTATTAGAAAAAAAAATGCTTCAAATAAAAAAAAATTCGCATAATAAAAAATGCATAATATAAATTAATAAAAATTTACATAATTAATAAAAAAATATGCAATACAGTATAATCTTTTTCTAATTACACTATCAGGATCATAGTAACTTTTTTTAAAAAATGTGCTTAAAAAGAGTTGTGCTTATTGTTAAATAGAGGTTTTTCCTATACGTTTATAATAGTTAGAAGTGTTTATGAAGAGAGTTTTTATAGGATGCACTTATATAGAAGGTGATCATAGAGTGGTTCGGCTATATGTACATACAAATAATTAAAAAAAAACTTGCATTGTTAGTAAAAAATACATATAAAAAAATCGTATAATTAATAAAAATACACAATGAGGCATATAAAAAAAATTTGCATAGTGTAAATTTAAATAAAATTCTCATCGATTTTTACAATCATTGCGTAAAATACATCTATATCACCGTGTATATAGTAAGTTGTTTTTTTAGCAAGAACAAGCATTAGTAAAGCAGTTAGATTTTTGGCAGCGACAACAATTTGAACGATGGTTTTGAGATGCTTGCTTTGGTTGATTATTGCTAGATAATTATAATTTATTAGCTTACTATTATATAATTGTTATGTAATAATTTATATACTTACTTAATCAAACTATTATTGTTATTGCTTTCATTATTTTGGCTTGAAAATTGACTTGATTGTTCATTATTTTGTTTAAAGCTTGCTTGCCTTAATGAAATAGGTTTGTTTAATGGAACTACAGTACATTAAAAGAGAGATAATCTGGAGTTCCAAGTGGCTTAATTTCGCTTGCTAGATACCAATTTTCAAGCATCCTGTACTGGCAAGCAACTTGATAAGAATCAATATTTGGTTTTTTTTGAATGACTTTGCATGGTAAAGATCTTTGGCTTATTTTTTTCTTGTCAATATCAGATATACAAATTTTAACAAATTCACTAGGCTCAAATGTTTGTTTACGTTTATTTTTATATTTTTCTTCCATTCTACTTCGTATAAGCTCTCGGTTTCTCTTTATGTTAAGATTGCTGATTGTTGAATTGTTTTATGTTGTTTAAAAGATAGATAGATCAAACTTGTACTAGTTGATGGCTACAAAAAAATTTTTAACTATTAATACTGTATTTAAAAATTTTTTAAGTTATATTTTTATTAATGCTTTACCCGTGATAATGATAGAATTATAATTTAGGTTTATCAAAATATCTGCATGATGTGAAAAAAAAGTTTTATCACTAAAAGATGGTTTGAGAACATGATCAAAACTGAATAAAAAAAGTTATTCTTAATGAGTATCAGGATTTCTTGTATGCTGTAAGTGTACTGCAATTCTCGCTGTGCAATTTTTCAATTAAGTGTATAAAAATTTCATTTATTTTTATTTATTATTTTAATAGTAATAAAATATAATCACTCGTTTATTGCAACTCCATTACAACGTAAAAATTCAATTGCCCGGATAACTAATTTCGAGTACCTAACTAAAATCGACAGTAAAATGCTATTTAGCGTTCATTGCACAAAAGAATTTCGAAATAGATCTGAATGTAGAAGATAAATCTGCCACGATATCTTCCATCCATGTCTCAATTATCATGAAACATAATTTGGACAAGCTAACATCTCAAAGATTTGTATTAATAACCTCTAATTAAAATTTTGGATTATTTAACCGTTAAATTTTTAAATTTATATTAATTCAACAAAGAAACGTAATAATTGTTATATTGTAAACTTTTTTCTCATGTATTCAATGAATCAATACTAAACCATATGATTAAGCGTAGTGCTGTCATTTTATTTATCAAAATCACAAACCTATTTGTATAGTACGTAATTTCGTCCTATTAAGTCTGAACTACAGAATTAAAGCTAACCTTTCACATAATTAAAATGAATTCATCAATTTGATTGATTTGATTTGTCTCATTATCGTTATGTGTTTGATTAGCATAAAAATAATACAAATTCTGCCTACGTAAGTTCAATTAATATTTTATAAGCACCGCATCACAATTCACTTTTGCTGCTAAAAATATGTTCTTTACATTATCTTAAGATCAAGAACATTTTTAACATGCTGCCTAAGTTTTCTGAGAGTATTCGGTTTAAGTTTGTTACAAATATGACACTCAAAATTGATTGTTCTCGAAGGCTACCAGCACTCAAAGTTCCTTTCATGTCAAGAAAATATGACAGAAGGTATCCCATTTGTACAAATTGATCCATTTCACTTCTGAATGTTGGTAAAAGTATAATTTCGAGATATCCTCCGGTGTCAAGTGACTTGGGCATATGGGTATATATAGCATAGCGGGCTTTATTACAGTATTATGATTGGCCGATTTTTGAAGATCATCTTAATGAAGTTAATGAAGTCGAATTCCGAGCGGATAAGACAAAAAATTAGAAAGTTCACGTCGTACTTAATAAACTACCAAAGTAATTCGGTAATTCACAAAGTAATTCGGAAGTTAGATGAGAGGTATGTTTGGATGTTTAACTTAGAGACACATAAATTCGGCAATTTAAACTGTTACGTATTCTGTGAAAACTTATTCTTCGTAATCCAAACTAATATAGAAACCTGACTATAACATAGGTTAATAATACGAAGTTGAGAGTCATAAGGTTTATAGATTTTGTGAGAAGAGTTAAAACGAAGTATGTTACAGTAACTGTATAAAAATTATTAAATACAATTAAAGATCAGTCTGATATTGGAGCGAACACTAAAAGTTGTTTTGATTATTTTTTTATTAGCTATTAGTGCTCTAGAATAGGTTCAAACATTTATTTCTTGTATTTTTCGTTTTTGGTTTGTTTTTGGTTCGCTTCGCTTTTTTTTTTCTTTTTTTTGATCTGTAATATGTTAGAACTATTTCTTTAATAAATTTTGGTTTGTCGGAATTTTGTCCGCGAAAAGATTGTAGTTTTAAAGTTATCGATTTCATGATAAAAACTTTGCTGGTATAAATTTTTATTATAAATATAGTTATTTTTGTACATATCAGTCTTTATTTGTGACAATATAAAGTTTAGAGCTTCGATTAGTTACCAATAAGATTTTTTCTGTATCACGGGTTGATATACAAAAATTTGCCAATCACAATGAAAGCCCGCTATGCTATATTTATTAGTTAATAATTTGATTGATAATTAATATTATTAGATTGAAGATTAAAAAATTAATATGGTATTCACATAAAGTAAGTCTGTACAAGCTTTATCTTTTTTAATTCAAGATTAAATTTTCAAGATTTAAAAAAATCAATATAATGTTTTTGCAAAGTAAATCTGCTTATCTTTTTTATCCAAAAAAATTAGAAATCAGTAAAATATTTATGTAAAATATATCTGCCAATATTTCTAATCATTATTATTATTCAAACAGCATAACGTCTTTTTCCTTCTAATCAAAGTTCATTTAAAATTTTGAGTGGTGGTATTACAAAATACGTTTACCAATATTTTTCTTACTGATCAAAAGTTAGTGTGACATTTTTGCAAAATTCTAATGCTTTTCTTCCTTCCGATCCAAGATTATTATACTCAAGATTCAAAGAAATCAGTGTGACGTTTTCGCAAAGTGCATCCGCTAATGCTTTTCCTGCTTCTGATCCAATATGATTAGTGTTAAGATCCAAAGAAGTCAATGTATTGTTATTGCGCAGTGCACCTGCCAATGCTTTTTCTACTTTTGATCCAAGATTATTCCAACTAAGATTTAAAGAAGTTAGCGTGATATTCGTGAAAAGTGCATCTGCTAGTGCTTTTCCTCCTTCTGATCCTAAATTATTACGAGCAAGATTCAAAGAAGTTAGTGTGTTATTCTTGCACAGTGCATTAGCTAATGCTTTTCCCCCTTCTGATCCAAGTTTATTATATTCAAGATTTAAAAAATTCAACGTAGCATTCTTACAAAGCGCATCTGCTAATGCTTTTCCTCCTTCTGATCCAAGATAATTAGAACCAAGATCCAAAGAAGTCAGCGTTGCATTCATGCAAAGCATATCTGCTAATGCCTTGCCTACCTCTGATCTAAAATGATTTTTAGCAAGATTCAAAGATGTCAGTGTAGTGTTTTTGCAAAGTGCTTTTGCAACTGCTTTTCCATCTGATCCAAGTTTATTACAAGCAAGATTCAAAGAAGTCAGCGTGGTGTTCGTGCAAAGTATACTTGCTAATGCTTTTCCTCTTTCTGAATTAAGCTCATTATTATTAAAAATCAAAGAATCTAACGTGGTATTCTTGCAAAGAAAAGTTGCTAACTCTTTTTCTCCCGCAATACCAAGATGACTATTCCTGAGACTCAAAGAAGTCAAAGTGGAATTTTTATTAATGATATCTATTAATAAATCTATTGCCTTAAATTTGATATTATATAAATCAATAGAGGTAATAGTGATGTTCTTATAAAGATTTTCAAATATTATTTGATTGCAAATAATTTCATTAAGACTTAAATATTTAAGATTTTTACAAGTTCGTAGAATCATTGCAATCAAAGAACATCTAAGAGCATTTTCAAGCTTATAATCTGTTCTATATCTTTCAAAAAGCCAATTTTTAATTCCATCATATAAATAAAAACTGTAAAAAGATGTAATATAACTTGTATATTCAAACAAAGGTTTTGAGCGAGTTGGAAGAATAATTTTAAAAGGAGTTAATAAAGTTCGCTCCTCGTCATTTAACATCAGAAGTAATACTCTTATAAGCCTTTTATTTTTAAAACACTCATTTGGTTCGCTCCACAATATTGGTATAATAATTCTACACCATTGACGGTTTACGAGTGCACATGAAAATAAGTTTTTATGATTAGACCGGAGGTTATTAAATATTTGAAAGAAACATTCATACGGTAACGTTATCATACTGTATTGAAAAACGATCAAAAATTTTTAGTACGTACGCACGTACACAGTTTTACTCCGGGCACATATATAATCAGAATAAATGTTGTAAAACGTCCCCCACCAAAATCGGAACTTGAAGGCGCGTGCGCAACCGTGTGATAGAAAGCTTTCATATGATTGGCCACCTAATAAAACTTTATATATATATACAGTATATTATATGTATTATTTATTCTTTGTAGGTTTATTTTTTAAGAAGTGTAAATAATGTAAAATTAAATCGACATAAACAGCAATCACATGAAACAATCATGTTCTCGACGAAACAAAACAACCTTAAAAAGTAAAAACCACAAAAAAAAAAAAAAAAAGAAAAATGGCAGTCTAAACTTATAACATTGATCTTAATCCTAACCTCAAAATTCTAAAATAAAATGATTATAAGCGCATACCGAATGATAAAATTGATTAACGAATAAAAATCTAAACATTTTATCAATATTAATAGAAATTGCACTTTACAACTAATAATTAAAATATAGCAGGCAGGGTAATAATATACCGTTGCCAATTAATCTAGGATCCAACACATTAAAGTAGCTCATATGTAAAACAGTCCTCGTAAAAAAGCCGTAATAAGCTAGCACTACAAATTTCTGCATTGTAGAGTTGACAACAATTAAAAACATAGCATGTGTAGAAGTTACATTTTTGATGTATTATAAATCTTTAATTAAGGGTTTCGGAATTAGAATGTGGGAATCTGATTTATTCGGGCTTAAGACGAACCTTTTATTAT